AAATGCTTATTTTCACTTTAGCTACTTATTTGTATTTGCCAAATATTTAGGTCCTAAAAATTATGACAAAATTGTGTGTATTTATTACCCTCGTCAAGGCAAAGGCTTAACTGATCAAATTCTTTAACAAATCAACGTTATTTTGAACATGTATTCATAATTTAAAAAGGTTTTATTTACTTAAGCTAAAATTAAATTTAAAACCATAAAATTATGATTATGGTTTTCATTCTATAGTTCAAAAACAACGATGGATGATAGTCATAATTTTTAAGTTTTATTGTAGTGTAAATAAAGCCGTAATAAAGTAAAAGCAAGTGCTTATTAAGGTTTTACTACTAATTTGTACCTCTGTTTGACGAAGTAAAAAAAATATCATAATATCTATATATATAAAATTCAAAGGTGATTGACTGACTGACTGATTGACTGACTGACATAGTGATCTATCAACGCACAGCCCAAACCGCTGGACAGATTGGGCTAAAATTTGGCATACAGATAGATGTTATGACGTAGGCATTCGCTAAGAAAGGATTTTGATAATTTCCACCCCCAAAGGGGTAAAAAAGGGGATGAAAGTTTGTATGAAACTTTGTCAGTTTTAAACTGATCGGGTTGAAATTTGGCATGCAGATAGATGTTATGACGTAAGCATCCGCTTTGAAAGGATTTTGATAATTTCCACCAAGGGGGTAAAATAGGGGATGAACGTTTGTGTGAGGCTTTGTCAGTTTTACACCGATCGGGTTGAAATTCGGCGTGCAGATGGATATTATGACGTAAACGTCCCTTTAGAAAGGTTTTTGAACATTCTCACCCCAAAGTATGATACTTTGCCAGTTTTAAATTGATCGGGCTGAGACTTTGCATGCATAAAGTTACTATGACATAGGTATCTCTTTAGAAAGGATTTTGATAAATTCCACCCCTAAGGGGATAAAATAGGGAATGAGAGTTTGTATAAATCTTCTTAGCCGTTGAATTTAGAATCATTGAATCTTTTTGAATTACATTCGGTAAAACGATGATTTGGGACCTGGGTAACGTATGATAGTTTTTTCACAGATGTCTCACGAGAACGGGAACTATGCGTCAATGCCCCAGGACTCTCTAACTCTTAACCACTGAACTTATTCTAGAGAGATTCGGTACAACAATAGTCGATAGAATAGTTTTTATTACTCAAACCTTACGTGATCGGGCACTGTACTGGTAAGATCCCTGCGGGATTATTTATTTATTGAAACTACGATAAATCATTTCAAAATAGGTAAATCTTACTTGGGCACTGAATTGATTCTGGTTAATTCTGTCAGAAGTCATTAATCTACGCGGACGAAGTCGCGGGCAACAGCTATCTACACATATAATAAATCGTAGAAAAGTCAAAACTGTACATTGAATATTTTTTAAAAGAATATTTGAAGCGTGATCTCTAATCGATACCGAAGCCAATAATGTGGTTTTTAGAATTTTTGTCTGTTTGTCTGTATGTATGGCCGTGATGATCTCAAAAAGTACTGCACTACTATTTCAAATTTTGCATGAATATTACTAACAAGTCTGGTAAACATATAGGCTACATATTATCACGCTATCATCTACGGGACTGAATCAATTCTGACGACATCCATTACCGTAGAATATCCCTTGATAAAAACTAATTCAAAAGCCTAAATTCTGCCAGAAGTCATTATTCTACGCGGACGAAGTCGCGGGCAACAGCTAGTTATAAATATAAAAGAATTTTACTATTTTCACACTTTTTCAACAGATGGCGTTGCATGTTACATCGCGATGTGGTTTCGTTACACACCACTAGTTGGAGCGTTTTAGCAAAATGAAACCAATTATCGTATATTTTATACTCCGTATTTTCATAATTCAAAAATGTTATCATGGAAATTGTCTATTTAATTCTAATTTATTTACTTCGTTTATAGATACCAAAACTACAAACATATTTAAAAGCATAAGCCTTTAGCCTTATAGTTTCTAATAGTATACCACAAAATGCCGTTCTTATATTATATTATCTTGAATATGGGCTTGCCATACTTAATTTAAGTGGAAACCCCAAATATTATCAAGCTAAACATCTAGATTACAGGCTCCACAATAATCTCTGTCCACGTACGTATTACTGCGGAACATAATATATAATTCTCTATATAGAGAGGCGAATACTAAAGTTGAGTGCGACAGTACGGTCGGCATAGCCCGTGCGATGAATAATTTAGACGCCCTGCCTGTATAGGTGAAAATATTGTAAGGTAACGCTCACAGGATGTTTTTGAACGTGTCCTCTATTCAGGAATGAGGTTGTATGAGATAGTGTTGAGTGAATTTATCTTGTGTTGCTATATTGTAGTGTAGTTCCTTGTAATATTGTAATATTACCCTCCCCACCTTCCCTGAATCTCCAACGATCCTCAAATTCCTGATCCCAAGAGGCCGGTAACGTACTTGTCTGGTGTTCCATGTGTCCATAGGTGACGCCAATTGCTTACCATCAGGTGATCCGTCTGCTCGTTTACCGACTTATCCCATAAAAAAGAAGTAAATTGTTTACCATTTTATACTGATTAATTTCTAGATCGAGTCATTTATTATGCTTCTGGGTATTGAAATTAAGATCAAAATCATTGAAATTAAAACTTTTGCGCATTTTTCCCATAGCATTATTCCTCTTTGCTAAAACTCTTCAGATTAAATTGACCTTCAGCGTCTATAAAAAGCATAGTATAGAAAGCAGTAAAGCCGATCTGAATAATTGCATTAATACCAAAGTTACGAAAATGGTTAGCTAATCATCAACATGGATAACTACTAGATGAGGTACTTATCTGTGTAGCTTAACTACGAGATCCCATAGTAACTGCTGAACATCACATAGAAGAAAACATAAAGTGCGGTTCACAAAAACAACTGAACCAAGAGTAGGCTATCAGGATGCAAAAAACGAAACTTGGCACGAGTACGGCCATGATTATTTCTAACTTATAACTGTACCATGACATTCTCGTGAGAATTCTCGTAAACGATAACACTTATATTAGTACGTGGTACTGTTTATTAATCGATGTATTTGAAGACTTATTCACTGTAACCGGTATACATTTGTTTTAGTAGGGACTTTTGACTTGACTATTATTTTTATTTTGTCATGGATATTTTTAATAATAAATGGTCTTTTAACTGTTCTTGTGGAACGGAACATAATGCCTATTTTTATCTGACTTAAAAAAGGAGGTTCGCAGTTTGATCTGGATATACATTATATATATGTGTATTTGTCGCGATTGTCTGAACCGATTTTGATGTGGTTTTCAGAAAAGCGTTTGTTACGCTTAAGAGAATCTTTCATTATACTAATTAATCGACTTCTAAAAAAGGATGAGTTGAAATCGATTTTTTTATTTATAACAGAATTATTCACTAGTTATACACTCTCGTGTTGTTATAAAATTTCATCGCCAACACAATCACTGCGTACCTGTGCTGTGCAGTATCTTTGCTTTTATACTTACAACAATTTAAATATTGTATAAGGCTTTCACTTGACTTTCACATCAAAGAAAGGCAGTGGAACTGAGTCCATTAGTATTGGCTTAGTTAAGATTAAAGTTAACTTTATTACTACATGATTTACTTATTAAAATGAATTTTTTAATTAGCTTAGTCATAATAATAATTATTATAGTGGGTATTATTGAAAGGAGAGAATACAAAGAGAATGCAGAAACCAGCCACTAACAAAGACAAAAGCTGGTGCCTAAGGGAGCCAAGTCACAGGAAATTAAACTTTACATATGGATGATTCTCAATACTGCTATAGATTTTATTTCTAGAATGAAATAGAACTAGGGAACTATTTCGTTCGAAAATATAGAGTAGTGCTGAGAAATTTAAACCAATTTAAAAAAGAAGGATTTATTTAAGCGCAAACCACGCTTAAATAAATCCTTCTTTTTTATATAAAAAGAATTATCGTGATAACCAATTTGAAAGTAAAAATTAAATGGACAAGATTTTATGCAAATCAATACATTTTTGTTACATTCGGTTGCATTTTCGTTATTCTGATTGCATTCACGATAGTTATAATTTTAAGAAATTGCAATTCATGATCATTAAATGACAAATACAGGACCATTCAATCATCACCTTGTTCTACTACTTTTCTATAATGCATTACATTAAACACCCACGATAGTCGTGGTGGCCCGGAGGTTTAAGACCCCTGCTTCTCATGCATGAGGGTGCGGGTTCGAAACCTACCAAACGGCAAGTACTAATGTGATTTTTTTCGAGTTATATGTATGTAATTTCTAAGATTATTTAGACACCACTGACAAACGGTAAAGGAAAACATCTTGAGGAAACCTTTTTTTTTATAATTTCTATAATAAGTTTGAAATCGCCAATCCGCATTGAGCAAGCGTGCTAATTAATGCTCAAATCTTCTCCGTGCGAGAAGAGGCTTTGCTTAGCAGTGGGCATTTATAGGCTGTTGATGACCCACGGGAAGACAAGAAGGTGGTGACGAAAGAAGAAGAATCGACTGGTTAAATGTATTCTAAATCACCGATACTGCACGGTTTACCATTATGTAGTCTTTTTTAAACTAAAGGCTGCAAATTCTAAAGACGTGATAAATATACAGTGTAGGGACACCCACACACATATTCATGTAAATGCATGTACACGTTTATGTGTGTAGTTCGTCATATTACATGATTCCCACCGAACGATATTTTTGTATTAGCAGTCAGGAATTGTACCCTTATAAGATAGCACGTACTGTGAATCAAACAATAAGCTGTATTCTATTCATATTTTATTAACGTGTAATACAAAGACAATATAATTAATTCTCACTAAGTGTTAACGAACTTTTATTCCTGCTCCTACATTGGTGACCCCGATAAAGAACAGTTTGTGAGAACTTTATTAGTGAAATAATTTCGAAAACTTATTAATTTCGGACCGTGAAAATGACGACCGGTATACCTACTCATCCGGTTCCTGTTCCGCCGGCAGACGTTTTGGCCATTTCCATAGCGTCTCGCATTCCAGACTTCTGGGGCGACCAACCCCGCGTATGGTTCATACGAGTTGAGGCTGTACTAGCTCCACAAAAATTGGGGGATGACGCGAAGTTTGATTTGGTAGTATCTAAACTACCCAAAGATGTAATTATGCAGTTGAGCGACTTTTTAACAAAACCTCCCGAGACCGGAAAGTTTTTGGCGCTGAAAACGAAATTATTTACGTTGCTCGAAGATTCGAAGACAAGACAAATAGAGAAGCTCATCGGCGAAATGGAATTGGGCGACCAAAAGCCCTCGCAGCTCCTTCATCGCATGAGAGACTTGGCTCGAGATAAAATACCGGATGACACACTAAGAGTATTATGGCAAGGTCACTTACCTTCGACCGTGCGAGCAGTGTTAGTTGTATCGGAGACCAAGGATTTAGACAATTTGGCCGTCATCGCCGACAACGTTGCAGAGGCTACGCGTATGAACCAGGTATCAGCGGTCGGGCAGAAACCTACAGCCCACGAGCAGCCTGAAGATTCTGTCACCATAGCTACTATTGCGGCTGAACTGGCAAAGATGAATGCCAGGTTGACGAACATGGAGCGTTCGAGGTCAAGGATGAGGCAAGATGGCTACCGTCACCGTCAGGCTTCAAGATCGTCGTCGAGACGTCGAGTGCCCGGCGCAGCTAATCGGCTGTGCAGTTACCACTTCCGCTACCGTCATCGGGCTCATAGGTGCATTCCACCATGTGCGTGGAAATCGAAGCCTGCTGTGGAAGGAAACACGAACGACAGGGCGAGGTCGGAAAACTAGGAAGTGAGGTGCAGTCTTCGTCCGAGGTCTGTGCCGTGGTCCCTTGCCCCCGTTTATCTGTGATGGACTATAATTCAGGACTACGATTTCTTGTCGATACTGGTGCCAACGTATCGGTTATACCGGCAGCAAAAAGGATTTTTAAAGGTAACCCATGCACTGATTATAAATTATATGCGGCCAACGGTACCGAAATTGCAACTTACGGTACAAAATCATTAGTTTTAGACCTGCGACTACGCAGACCCTATCGTTGGGAATTTATAATAGCCAATGTGACTAGGCCCATTTTAGGGGCAGATTTTTTGTCTCATCATAAAATTTTGGTTGACCTACATAAAGGCAAACTAATTGATCAAGTCACAGATATAAATGTTTTGGCATCTATTGTGAATGTTAATCAGCAGTCTATCAATTCAGTAGTAGAAAATCATCCGTACTACGATCTACTCAGTTTGTACCCTGATATTACCAAACCAGCGTCATTTAAGGAAACTCCCGCGCACAATGTTTTACACTATATAGAGACAACAGGTCCACCTGTTTATGCGCGTGCTCGACGCTTACCGCCTGATAGATACGCTAAAGTAAAAGAAGAGTTTAGAGTTATGCAGGAATTGGGTATTTGTCGGCCATCTAAGAGCGCTTGGGCAAGCCCGCTGCACGTCGTTACTAAGAAAAACGGCGAACTACGGCCTTGCGGCGATTATCGTCAGTTGAATGCGATAACCAAGCCCGATAGATACCCAATACCACGTTTGCACGATTTCACCTACGTGTTGGCAAATAAAAAGATTTTTTCTAAGCTAGACATTAATCGGGCATATCATTGCATTTGTGTAGCACCTGAAGACATAGAAAAAACAGCGATAATAACTCCATTCGGCCTTTTTGAGTTTCCTCGCATGACCTTTGGTTTGCGGAATGCGGCACAAACGTTTCAAAGGTTCATGAACAACACTGTTTTGCAGGGACTAGATTTTTTATTTAATTATCTTGACGATGTCATCATTGCCAGCGAAAACGAGACTCTTCATCGTGAGCATTTAAGGTTGGTTTTTGAACGGTTTAACACTTATAGCATAACAATTAACTTGAGTAAATGTAGTTTTGGACAGTCGCGCATAGAATTCTTAGGCCACGAAGTCAGTATAGACGGTATTAAACCACTCGATGAAAAAGTTGAAGCCATAGCAAATTATCCTAAACCAGATACCATAGCGGATTTACGACGTTTTCTTGGAATGCTAAATTTTTATAGGCCTCATCTTCCTAATTTAGCTTCTTATCAATACGAGCTCAATCGTTATTTAGTAAAGTCTAAGAAAAATGACAAGACTAAGATTTGTTGGAATGCTAATTCAGAAAACGCGTTTGAAAATTGTAAAATAGGCCTTCAAAAAGCAGTTACCCTGTCACATCCGTTACCAGAGGCACCCTTAGCCTTGATGACGGATGCCTCCAACACCTGTATAGGAGCGGTGTTGCAACAAAAGGTAAGTGGATCCTGGAAGCCGCTAGGATACTTTTCAAAAAAGTTAACACCGACCGAGCAAAAATACGCCACTTATGATCGCGAGTTACTCGCCATATACAGAGCTATTAGATATTTCCGGAAATCGTTTGAAGGACGACCTCTGACAGTGTATACAGATCATAGACCACTATGTCACGCATTATCGAAAATAGGAAAAGATGATAAAGAAACACCTCGAAGAGTGAGACATCTTTTATTTATTAGTGAATTTACGATCGACATTAAACATATTAGCGGTAAAAATAATATAGTAGCGGATGCCTTATCGCGCGTGGAAACAATTTTGTGTCCAACTGTACTCAACTATAACGAACTTGCTGACGCGCAAGTGAAAGATGAGTACATCATACGATTAACGCAACGTTTAGATAACACTAATAATGTTAAATTAAAACAAATGTTATTGCCTAATTGCAATAAACATATTTATTGCGAAATTTCGACTGACGTCATTAGACCATATTTGACGGAAAATTTCAGAAAACTTGCTTTTGAAAGTATTCACAAATTAAGTCATCCCGGCGTGCGTACCACACGCAAGATGATGTCTAAACATTTCTTTTGGCCGGGAATGAATCGAGATGTAGGACAGTGGGCTAAGACCTGCATCCAATGTCAGAAGTCAAAAATAAGTCGCCATGTAATGTCTGGTTTGGGAGAGTTTCCTAAGGCAGCGCGTTTTGAGCACATCCACGTGGATATTGTTGGTCCCTTACCAACGTCTCCACAAGGATTTAAGTACTTGGTGACAATTATAGATAGGGCTACACGTTGGCCAGAAGCCTTTCCTGTAGAGGAAATAACAGCAGATGTAATATCAAAATGTATTTATGAAGGCTGGATAGTTAGATATGGATGTCCTGTACGCATTACCACCGATCAAGGGCGACAATTTGAGTCAAATTTATTTTATAGATTGATGAAATTTTTAGGCATTTACAAGATACGCACCACTCCATACCACCCGCAAAGTAACGGGGTTGTAGAGAGGTGGCATAGATCTTTAAAATGTGCCCTTATGACACGTTTAAATAGCAATACCACTTGGGTAGAAGAATTGCCGACAGTACTGTTGGGACTTCGTGCGGCAATGCGTACAGACAGTGGGATAAGTGCAGCAGAGTTAGCTTTCGGGAAAACTTTACGTTTACCAGGCGAGTTCTATGACACTTCATTAGATAAGGATTGTAACAACCCATACAGTCGCGTAGAGAAGATACGCGAGAATATTAATAGCTATCAGCCGACAAGAGATAAAACGGACTCTCGCAAGATTTTTGTCTATAAAGCATTAGAGGACTGTGAGTACGTTTTCGTTAGAGATGATATGGTCCATAAGTCGCTTAAACCACCTTACAATGGTCCATTCAAAGTTTTAGATAGGTCGCCTAAAACTTTCAAAATTCGATTGCCAGACCGCGAAGCATGCATTTCAATAGATAGGTTGAAACCTGCTTTCGTGGTAAAGGACATCAAAACTGCTGATAATAATGTACCCAGTGCACCCGTTGATTCCCATAACGCGCAAAATAATTTCCCACCGCAAAATTGTCTAGGAAAGCAACATGTAACCAGAAGCGGTAGAGTAACGCGAGTACCCGTGCGATTCGCGTTATAAGTTGTGTCCAGGGGTTACAATTACATTTATTGTTAACTAAGTTTATAGTAATTCCCATGAGTTTATCCGTGTAATAGATGTATTATTGTTTAATATTGTTTTATGTCTTCGTATTATTCTTTTATGCTTCTATTACTGTTTTATGTTTAGATTACTTATGATGATAAGCATACCTTAGTTATATTGAGATGTACATTAGGCAAGTAAATATATTACTTACATGTATATCGTAATCAATAGGTATGATAATAAATAATTAATTTAACCAAGCGAAGTCGCTGGTATGTTATAGTATTAAATGTAATAATTCAAATACAGATGATCATGCAACTCTCATGCTCACCTATGTATTTTCATTATAGAATTGCATATTGCATATTACTTTTATGATGACTTGTTTATTTGTTATTAAATTATATTTCACATTATGTATTGATTTAGTAATTTTGAATAGGCATTTTGCACTTCTAACATTACGAAATATTAATTTAGCTAGTTTTATATTAAGACTCTATTGATATCACTTCCATTTTGTCACAGACTGTAATCGCTTGTACATTATAGTTAAGTGTTGTTATGGGCAACCGTAGTTCTACTGGTAATATAGCTGTCGCTCAGGCACAGATCAACACAGAGGAACTATCAAATAAAATAAACTTCATGGCAATAGTCATGGTTTTACTGGCAGTAACTGCGTTTGCTGCCATATTGTACTGCATCAGGCAGCAATGTCATCACCGAGTCAAAAGTTGGCTCAGGCGTGAGGTGACGTTGGCCAACATGGCCCCACCCGTGGTCCGTGTGCAGACGGTTCCGCAGCAGCCGGCCACCGCCGCTGCCGCCCCAAACGTTGCCACGGCATATATGTAGTGTTAGTGATATACTCATAGGGTTGTGTTGTTTCGCCAATATTATATACTTAGTGAGTGTTTATTTTTAAGATTGTAGTTGTATTAATATAGCTATATAGTGCATTGTGTTGTATTGACACCGAGTTTTGTTTTATATTCTTAATTTTGTTTAAATTTTGTTTAAGACAAAAGTTTTATGTCCTTTGGACTTTTATTTTCGTAAGGGGGGAATGGTGTAGGGACACCCACACACATATTCATGTAAATGCATGTACACGTTTATGTGTGTAGTTCGTCATATTACATGATTCCCACCGAACGATATTTTTGTATTAGCAGTCAGGAATTGTACCCTTATAAGATAGCACGTACTGTGAATCAAACAATAAGCTGTATTCTATTCATATTTTATTAACGTGTAATACAAAGACAATATAATTAATTCTCACTAAGTGTTAACGAACTTTTATTCCTGCTCCTACATACAGCAATACATTGAAATTTCTAAGCTTCAATACTTGTATGAATATTCATGTGATCTAGATCTTGTGAAGTAGTCACGTGATGTGCATACGTGATGGAAATTCAATCAAAAGTCTTCGAGCAAATTTAGTATTCAATTCATAATACCTGAGGTGCATCGAATGGAATAGTTTATCATAATAGATTTACCTTAGATCCTTAAAATAATAGGAGAGATGATAATGTTTTAATGGAATATGTCGGATAAATGAGCAGACGCAATACCTGATGGTAAGCAATCAGCGTCGCCCAATTTGTTTTTCACGGAAGGGTCCCAAAAGGGCTGATGCCGATACGATGCCGCGGCGGACTTAACGAGTTGACACGGCTCCGGCTCGAAGTGCAGCAGTAGTAACGAGGTGGTTTTTAGTCAGTAACAATCTGACACTCCCTCCCGCCTCTCCCAGGCAGAAGTAGTCATTCGATGATCGGCATCGCCCATGTACACCCGGAACAACAAGTGCTTTAATGG